AATCAGTTTCGGCCCCATTTCTGATAATTTACGAGCTGACTAAATGCATATAACCGTAATTACTAAATGTTTAGTATTACAATGTAATTGTTATATACCCATTGTTTTAATGGAACGATCAAAGTAGGTACCTGGCACTAACCGAAAGAGTACCCACTACTAGAACTATCGAGGATATAATTTTCGTTTAATATGTCGAAAAGCATTTCCGCAGTTCTATTGTTACCAATTTTAAGAAAAAGCAGATGTGTTAAATAAACCTACCACGAATTTTGATACTTTTTGAAAATAATGTTAATTTATGTTAATTTCAACAGAAATTGTCTGATATAGCATCCCAAAAACCTATTAAAAGTATTCCAATTCTCCAATTCAAGAATCACGTACGGGAAAAACATAGTCGGTGGATTAGTTTCCCATAAGAGTGAAAATCAACAGTTTTAGGAGAGAGTGAGTTTAGGAGGAGTTTCAGTAACATATTCAAACGACCGTAATTGTCACAAAAAGGTGATTTAGCGTAGAGACGGATGCATACATGAATAAATTGAGGGAACAGATCTAAATTATTCATTTTTCCGAATTCGTGGAAATAAAACTCATCGTACCGACTAAATGCATACATATTGCGGCAGCTATATTTCCGTCAGTATAAATAAATTATATTCTCTTCCTATCGATATTTATAAAAGGTATAAAATAAATAAACATGCAAATGAAACTGCGTTGGATATAAAGATGTAAGTGCGCAATTAACATTTCACAATTGAGTCAGCAGAGTAGTTGCCTCCCTCAATTATAGTAATTAAATATATCTTAATCTTTTTTACTGGTGATGTGTTCCAAAGATTACAACAATTGCTTGTGGACGCAATGTGCCATAAATATTAAAAATTGTACGTACGTAAAGTAATTCAGGATATGAACTTTCTGTTTTCGTGATTGGAAAGTTAAACCAACAGAGCGTGTTTAATAGTTTCGCCGACACGCCGAAATCCACGTAAATATTTTCCCTGGGAACTTAAAACACATGTTATTTTGAACGTTAAGATTCAACAAAGTTGGGAACGTTTAACGACACGAAAGCAAATAATCCGGAAGCTCTAATAGTTAGAAAAGGAAAACGAAGTGCATCCTGCAGGACCTCTTACATATTCATCAGGGTTATCTGTCGGACAAGCTGCGGCCTGCTGGAGACGATAAAGGAATATTTACTCCACTTACAGTCTGTAATTAAGCACACCTATATTTGCATGGGAGATTAGATCGGGGTCCGCTCTGATAGCCATTTGCATGAACTTTTGTTTGTGTTAAGCTAATCATGTCACATTTTCGTAACATACGTACTTTCTGGCCGGGGACGCCGTCCCAAAGCCTCCTAAATTTCAGCAATGTTTATTATTCTAATTAAATTTCTTACAGTCTACTTTTTATATTTCCCGTGGTGGAGAGATTTAATTATATTTACTTTGGAAGTGCTTACTTCGGAATTTACATTCTGATTATTGTCTATGTTGGTTTTAGCTGATGAGCTTTGTTCCATTGTAAAAGTTCATTAAAGTATTATTTTGCTCCACTGCAAACAACTTTAATTTTTAACCAAATTTTATCCCACGGAAAAGTTTAATGCTTTTGATTTGGTCAGAAACTTTACCAAAAAGTTAGTTACCTATGTCAGTAGTATAATTGGTGTTTAAATTTGAGGAACCTTTGTAATTAATTGGATCCGAGTAGCAGCTACTGTATTTTTTTCACAGGAAATAACAAAAACGTAAAGCGACAAACGTGTAAAGTAATTTAATGTGATGCGACGTAATTTAATTTCTATGGTGAAATGACAATTTGATTCCAGTAAAGCAAATTTGTTGCTTTAATAAATGGAGTATTTTTTAAATAAAATAATTATAAAATCATTTCATAGTAATCAAATCATTTATTTTATACACTGGTTGAAGCCACTGGTTAACGCCACAAAGTTAATATTACATTCAACAAAAGCGCTAATTAAGTGAATACGTTGTAGTCAGTTTCATTCAATTCCGTCAGCGCATTATGAAGATATAGCAGAAAACATATATTTTTTGTAAATTTTAACACTCTGTAGTCCTACAGTTTCTGTATTTAAACTGAAATCGCCCTGTATATTGGTTAATGATAGTTTTAGAATGAAATCTACAGGGTCAACTATGTTTTTGTATTCAAACTAACAGTTTATAGAAGACCTCAGTGTAAGGAAAAAGTTGTAGGTGGCAGAGTTTGAAATTTAAGAAAAATCTGTCTTATTCATCTTTTAAAGTGCAGAGTCACTAAGAATTTCGTAGCCACTGGTTTTGAAAATATGGATGCATTAAATTTTATTCGGAGAGTGATTTTTTAAATATTGATGAGCTATATTTTTAATCGTCTCAAGTTTGTAAAACGCCGTGAAAGAGTATCGTGGTATTAGTATTCGAAGATTAGCCACAAGATTTCAAGTATCTCATATATACTGTAAAGAATCAGGTGACTAAACCGAATATTTTCTTGTTTTTATGAATTGGATTTCTAATTATTTATTATTTATTACTCTTTGAGTTGAGTTGTTAGATTAAATTAAAGAATTATTTTTTTCTGTGTGGTGGTATGCTCTTGTGAAAACTTATTCAATAAATGTAACGAGTAAAATTTAAAAAAAATTGGCATTCACGACGCAATTTGAAGTGTTTCTAAAGGTCAAGAGTAGCCCCCATTCGAAGTTACACCCTATGCAGGGTGATTCACAACTTATCTAAAAAATTTGGGAATAGATGCGGCATAAAATGTTGAGTCATTATCATAAAAAAATATATTTGTAAAGTCCTTGTAGTTTTCAAGAAAAAAATTATTAAAGTTGTAGTACTTTCAACCATTACATAGCTGGACAACTGTAGTCTCTAGCGTCATTCGCAATACACGGGGAGAGCCACGTGGCCTTAGCGACTCCGAATATTGAAATCCGAATTTACAATCGTCGTTGCGATAGTGTTTACAATAGTTTTTAGTAGTTAGTACTAAGAATGGTTTGCGAGTATAACAACTCGGAGTTGATGGATATCGTTTTAATTTATGATGAAACAAGTCAACATTTGTGTTAGTTCGTACAAAATGAGTAAGACGTACCCAAATGTATTTACATGTCGGTGGAAAAAATTTTGAACAGTTGTAATATCAGGTATGTCAGATTATTTTATTATTTAAAACCACAAATTAATTTTATTAATTTATAATAACAATAACGGCAAAAGCAGTTGAATTTGCTGATATAAAATAGGTGCTATAAAATTTTATTTAATTCTTGCGAATTTCAAGTTTTTGACCGTTTTTACCACACTTTGTCGCCAGTGCCGTCAGAAGTGTATTTTAAAATCATTTTCGGACTGCCCTTTTTGATATTTTCTTCACAAAATTGTATTTGTAAGAGTCCTCTGCACATCCAAATTTTTTTTTTGGATAAATTCTGAATCACCCTGTATAATTCTTTTATGGATTTTTCAATATGCTGTATCGGTAGTTGATCCATTATTTCTAAAATAGTCCACATTTAACTTATACTGTAATATTTATAGATAGGTATAGAACATCTCCTTATATACATTCATTACCAAAAATTATTTGGGATCTAATTACTTTATAGATTGAAACGATTTATTAGGTAATAATTCACCTTCTAATTTCTCTCCACAAAATTATTTACGCCTCCGAGTTTAAGAGCTGTATAATCAAGCTCCTTAAGATTGTATCTACTGTTTAAAAATCGATTTAAGCACAAATTCAGGTTATGCCTTTGTTGTACATCTAACTTGCTCGATGTACGGGATACCCCGACAAAATAAAACCTTGTGCTGAGAAAATACTGCCAAGTTGGCTTAGTTAATTAATTAATGCAGCAAGTTGCACAAAGGGTTTTGTTTATAATTAAGCCTTGACTCTTTAACATTTAGAGCAATTTTTATAATGGAAAAAGTTACTTTATTAGTGATATTTATTATACGCTCTTTTTTATTATCTTCAGTAATTGTCCAAGAAGGCTTATTTGTTATTTTTCTTACCTGTGCGAAATACTTATCGCATCCGAAGAAAAGTAAATTCATCTGCGTTCGGAAGTAGGGATCTTACATGTTTTTAGGATCACTGATCATGAATCTGAACTCCAAAATAATCTATCACGTCGATATTTGGCCGATATTTTACGCATTATAACAATATGGAAATATAGTAGTTGTAATTCAATCAAAATAACACTAGTGTTATCATTACTTAAGAATGAAATAGAGTAATTATAAATGAAGAAAACAGTTGTATTACATGGGCGTAAGATTAACGGTTTTTAAAATATTGGAGCGTTTCATCACAACGTCACAACAACGCTACACAGTTGGCGCATACAACATGTGTAGGCAGCAGACTTGTCCTACGGAAAAAATGTAAATAACAATTATTATTGTGAAACATTTAGTAAATTTCAAGACAATTGTTTTCCAGTTTTTAAACAAATAAAATGAAATATGTTGATTTTGTAGTGGAACTTAACTTTTAATCAAATTATGAATTTGAAAAATATGCAATTATAGTAGGTACCCACGATTTTTTTTTGTAAAAATCGTTTCATTACATTTCATACATAAAGTACAAAATGAGTGATAAAACGAACACACATTATTTCTATTATGTTTAGCTCTATGGTGTCATCATGCAAAAAGTAAAATTTGACTATAACTTTGTTACTTTTAAATTTAACAGGAATTTGAAAACGTTTTAATTAAAAAATTTTTGGAATTATTTTAAATTTTTTAAAGAACAACAATTGACCATTCCAAAAGAAAGGAGTTAGGAGCCTGAATATCCTACAAATCCCAAAAACTAAATTTTTTGTTAAAAAATACTAAAATTACTTTGTCAGTAGCTCTAGAGTCAATAAAGATATACAGTCGTGAATTTTTATGTAATGACCCTGTCATCTATAACATGTGATTGAAACAATGGAGTAAAATAAATAACTTTTATTTTGTAAACAAATTTTAATGATTAATATAAGTATAAGCGTTAAAAACGAATAACTAGCGACACCGTTTAGTGGCAGCAAACAGTTTTTACCTGCCCAGTGGCTGCAATAACTTCAATTTCCACCCTGGCGTTCATTGGAAGTTTTGCCACCTGAAAAGCTGATCGGGCTGGAAAATCCTTTATGAAAACTGAAAAATTTATTAGTTATAGTTCTTCTTCTGTTAAATTATCACTACTGAGTTGATTTTTGTTATAGATATATTCGGTGTGTTCATTTAGTGGCACGTATACAGAGTCTTGCAAAAAATGTGGTGCTTTTTAAATGGAATATCATAAATTTTCTCTTTCTACTTGAAACCTCTTAAATTTTCTATACATTGGTAAATTTGAGTTGTGCTTAAATGACATGATGCTAAGTTACCTACGATTTTATTTATTTTTTTTGTCATTAACAACTGTTCATTCGAATCTCAATATCTCCTCTACCACGAGCTGGTTTTTCATAAAATTTTAAGGAGATATTTAACCTAGGTCTACTTCATACGAAAAGTAGATGTAAGAACAAAAATGTTTTAAAAAAGAGTAAAATTCTTTCTGAATATCGAGATAAGTATACTAATTATTATTATTTTTTTTTAAATTTTATATCTTTATTTTTTGCAGGTGCAAATCATTCATTTTTATGTTGGTTAAATTGCAAATATCCTATTTGTTTCCTTAATTCGTCCTATCCCAAGAACCACCAGAGAGAAGGTAGACTTCTCAGTATTAAAAAAAAAGCCAAACATGTTATAATGTTATAAAGTACAGGGTGTATTTTGTTCATTATACATATATTTACTTTGAAAGATATTTTGATATCAATAATAAAACCTTCTTCATGATTTTTCATCGCACCTAGATGTCTCGGGTTTAGATATTTATGAGAGTAAACGGTATATTTAAATTGAAAAAGAAGGTGGAAGAGATTATATTTCCTCCATTCTTATAATTCTTCGCTTAGTTGCAGTTCAAAATAACATGTTTCAATTTAGGCTAGATTGTTTCTAACATTACAAAAATCCAAATAGACTTTGAACAATATAAGCACCCATTTATTTACAACTATTTAGTTTATAGTACAGCGATTTTGTATTATTTGTATCGTATTAATAAAAGATATGTAGACATATACGCTACACCAGAAGTCACTTAAAACACATTTAAGCTATACCTTTGTAGCTTAGAGATGAAAATCCTTTGATTTCAGTAACCATTGTCGTAGTCTTTCACAAATCGAGTTGAATTTTACTATAGAAATCCTTTCCCGATGGTAGAAAATGATAGCCCCGTTGAAAAGTTGCGCGTAAAGGACCACAAAAGGAAAATTCTGAATGTAATGAATGACGATAGTACTCGTATAAGAACGCGTTTGATAAAATTTTCTATATGTATTAATATTTTCCGGTAGGTACATATTTTAATTTCCATTAAAATTATTGCAGCAAATTTGGTAATATTGATCTTGCAATGTGATTTCTAAATATGGCTTCTGTTGCCTAACGAAAAAAAATTACAAATGGAGTAATGAAATGTAATATTAAACTTAAATTGGTTCAAAATAAATTTTTTATATTTTGAAAAAATTTTTTTCAAGTCAATTTTTTGACTCTATTTTTGGCAACTAATCTATTCCTGCAGTTTTTGCACTTAAAGTGATTTCAATCTGTATAATTTAACGTTAAGTTAAATCTTTCTCGATTGTTATAAATTCCCGGCGTTTACATTTGAAGAACAATAACTGAGATTAATATTTGTAAAAATAAAATATCGTTCATAAATCATCTTTTTAGGATTAACTTACATTCTCTATAGACATCATTTACGGCTGCAAAGTCATTGAGATCGCTAAGAAAAATTGTGGATTTCACGACTTTATCGTAAGACGAATTTCCTGCTTGTAAAATGTACCCCAAGTTCCTTAAAGCCTGCCTAGTCTCCGTCGTGACGTCCCCTTCGACTATTTTCATCGTCTCCTTTTCCAAACCAAGGACGCCAGAAACATACATCGTGGAATCAAGTATAACCCCTTGGCTGAAAAATAAATCTTATCATTACCACACAATGGAGATAACTCCGGTTTACTTCAAAGGGGCATTGGGTCTTGGGGCGTTATTTGTATTAACAATCTTTTTTGTCAGTGTCATCTCCGGAATGTGACAACTGTTATCCTTCAGTTCCGGTTTTCACTTTCGGACAAGTAGCCGATTTAGTGACATTTTTGGCGTTCATGGGTCGTAGCTAGGCAACTAATTGCAGGCAAACTTTGTTGGTGTGTTCCATTATTAATAGATTTATCGATATTTTGACTTAATCAAGAAATTGGTCAATAAATTGGTAACTAAAGCTGTATTGGTACAATGATCACTACAATAATTATTAAAACAAAAAAACGTTTGGCTACCAACGATTTGCACTAACAGAAACCAAATTTTTTTGTTGCTAAATAGCTCCAATAACATTTTTGTAACTGATGAAACTATTTTTAAAGTAATGTGTTGTTGGTAACAAATAAGAAGCTGTTAACTCAGAATGGTAAATGTTCATTTTTGAACAATATCTGTCGTTATTTTATAACACTAGTTTAGTTATAGCTCTTGTTAAAGCTCAAACTAATCATGGCGATGTGTTCATAAATACCTTCATATAGGTAGGGTTCTCTAATAAAGTCACTTACTCTTCAAAGTCTCTATTAGAAGATAAGCTATAGAATTTACTAAAATATGTCAAAGTAGTTTCCTCAGTCAAGTGAAAAATATCACCGAGTGATTGTAATTTGACTTTAATATTTACATCGAAAACTCTAGTCGCAATTTGTTAGTAATCGACAATACAGCAAAGCACATTAGTAACATGCGCAAGCGTAGTAAAAATTACTTTGAAATAAGCTAATTACCATATGTGGTAGGCATAATTTATAATATAGTCATTTAGCAGTAGCAGAAGTCATTTTGCGTAGAACACATAAATTATATTTTATTTTCACTTGAATTTTATAATAAATATACATAGAGGGTGATTCACAACTTATCCAAAAAAAGTTTGGGAATAGACCGAGTCAATATTGTAAAAACATTTTTTTGTGAAATCCCTATAGTTTCCAAGAAAAAAATTATTGAAGTTGTAGTACTTCCAAGTATTACATCGGTGGACAACTGTAGTCTCTAGCATCATTCACAACACGCTTGGAGAGCCACGTGACCTCAGCGACTCCGAATACTGAAATCCGATTTTACAATAGTCGTTGCGATAGTGTTTACAATAGTTTTTTTTAGTAGTTAGTGTCAAAAATGGCTTGCGTGTAAAGAAACTCTTAGTTGATGGATATCGTTTTAATTTATGGTGAAACAAAACGACATTCGTATTATGGTGAAACAGTTGTGTTTTGGTGAAGCAGGACAACATCTGTGTTAGTTCGTAGAAACTGAGTAAGTCGAGCCCAAATGTGTTTACAAGTCGGTGGACAAAATTTTGAACAGTTGTTGTAACATCAGGTATGTCAAATTATTTCATTAATTACCCACAAATTACAACAATAGCGGCAAAAGCAGATGAATTTACTGATAAAAAATAGGTGATATTCCTTTCCTTGTGAAATTCTTTCAAGTTTTTGTCCGTTTTTGCCCTCGTGCGGATCGCATTGTACGAGGTCATTGTCAAACTGCCCTTTTCGATTTTTTCTATACAAAATTGTATTTGTAAAAGTCCCCTGTACATCCAAAAATGTTTTTTTGATAAATTCTGAATCACCCTCTATATGCTGTGTAATAAAAATCGAAATGACTATTAATGATATATTATTTCTAGTTTGTTATTGTTTTGACAACTTATTTGCTAATATTTCCACGAGCGTTTAAACTTTGTCAGTTAGTAAAGCGTTTGAAAATTTGTATAACTGAAATTATGAAATATATATAAAATTGAAATATTAGATAATATTTAGTCAATTTTAGTGAACGCTACTTACTCTATATGACAAGTAACTTTGAACATTAATATAACATAAAAGCAGTTGACAAAGATTCAATTTTTTCTACATAAAATATCCAAAAATTCAGTTCATTTGCAATTTTCTTTCCTTTTTCTTTCAAGTTACAGACTTCAAGATACCTACCGATATACCGGAAAATGAGACAGTTTATGTAAATACGCCAATAAACATTAAAATATGCAATTGATTTCCACTTCATTCGAACCTATCCTAAGAATAACATTACCGTAAAAAGTAAATTATAGGATCAATACCAACTTAAGTCTAAAACTTGTTTTTTCTTTCCAGAATATGAATTCTATCAATAATTATCATTTTAATTCATATGGAATGGTTGCTATTATTTACACTCTTACTGCATCCCAGCTTTTGTTAAATTTAACTAATATACTTTGTAATAAATTAGTTGATTAATATTTGTAACTGAATTATTATTTACCTTATCGATTCCTTAGTTTAACTGAAAGTAATATCTTTGTTATAAATGTCCTTAATTCTGACATGACTAATATTCTTTGTACCCTTGAGATAGTATTTTATCGGAAATATTGTGTTGATAGCAAAGTATGTACTTATATTTTTTGAATGGAATTCTATAACATATGACCAATGTAAAAGTGATATCAAACAACACTGGTTAGAACTCATAACAATTTACTGTCCATTAATACTAGTAGTCTAGCTTTTATAGCCTTTACTAACGCAATATGGGCCATAAAATAGCGGACTGTCACTGCTGAAAATAAAATTACGTATCCTAAATTTGTTTCATTGATAAATAGAACGGTTCTCTGGATTGTTTCAATATGCAAAAGTTTAAAAAAATGATCGAAAACAACATATTTTGGTTTGTTTTATTACTTAAATTAAAAAGTAGTCCTGTACAATTTTTATAAGCAAGTAATCTTGACATCGTGATCTGCAGAGATGGATACTGTAGATTAAAAACTACTAAGCTTATTGCACAATTCTTTTTAACTAAAATATTTTGTTTATATTATTGTTGTTGTCTCGGTTTGGTGACCTAATTATGTTATCGGTATTGACCCTAAGGATGTCAGAGACGATGAAGACAGATTTACTAACGCTAGTTTAGACTGCAATGGTTTTTAGAGTTCAATTTTATTATTGATAAACAGAAATAATGTTTGAATTGACCTTAACTCGCAACTTATAGTAATGAACTGTTGCGTAACCAAAAATAAAGTTATGTATTTTACCATTTACAACCATGACACTGATTGGTAAATTGGTCGACACATGAACTTTTAATTTTTCTTTCCTTATTATTTATCCGCCAATTTCTAAATTAAATAAATTTTGGGATACTGTACACAATGTTAGAAATATCGAAAAGTAATTTTTGATAATAATAATAATTTTGCACATCTTGCTGTTGTTTGCAACTGAATGTCTATGGCTTTATTATGAACAGTGTTGTAAGTGTTTTTGTACTATTTTTAACGTGATTAGGCGATATCTGAGAAGGTATTGTACATGAAATCTATAAGTCATCGAGCTTTATTATATAAATTGTTCTTGAATAAACAAAACTTTTTTTCTGTTACAGATTATATAGCGTCTAGTTTTATATAAATCTCATGTTCCTAATATTAATAATATTGAACAGCATACTATACTCACTTGTATGGAGCAATAGGTTTTGGTGCATCTAAGGTGGTAACTATTGTTCGACTCTGAGCAGACATCTTTATCACATAACTATTTCAATAATGTTTGCAACTACCAAAGTAACTTTAAATACTAAAATTTGATCTGCTTGTCTAATTTGTGTAACAGATAACATAACGTTACACCACTGTGCACGTGATAAATACTTGAGATTGAAATTCTTTTAAGCGTATCTAATTAGGAAATATTATTGCAAAGTATTTCTATTCGGAATGTTTTAAATGAGGCAAAAATAAAGTTATCATATGTTCATACAAGCGTAAATTTAAGAAATAATGTCACCTAAATTACTGAAATTATCTTAAGTTTCATCTGAAATCGGAGACGTACCAGTCGAAAATGGTCCTAGGGCAAACATCGAAGTTACGCCCCTTAGATACAACTAAATAAAACAATCATGAATATTACAAAATATTTTTATTGTCAGTTTTAGAACGAAAATTAGTCCGTAAAAGTGCACTTTTAATAGTATTAAATTTAAAATTGCACCTTCCTTCTCGTTCGTTCGCGAAAACTCACCACACGCGAAATTTGCGGAATTATTTAAATATGAATTATACAGGGTGATTCACAAACGGTGGCCAAAAATGAAAATGAAATGGCTTTTTTCGAAAAACATAAGATTGTAGTAATTTGTAGAAAACTGAAAGACGAATTCGAAAATATCATTATTGTTACAGTAAAGCAGTGGCGTACTGTTTTATTTAGACAAATATGGAGCATATACATTTTAAAAAGAGGCCTCAGATTTTGGACAATGCTTACATAAGCACGTATCCAATTTCAAATTATTTCACTCACTGGTTTTTAAATTATTTAAAAAAATTAAAAACATTTTTTGAAGTTTAATACCCTGTATCTTTTTAACGGAGCATGCTAGATAAAAACTTTATAGGATATACTCCCTTTAAAATTCACCCTGTATTGTTGGTTTATTTTGCTGTTTAATAATTTGAAAATTTTGTACCCCCCCTTTCAATGACACGCAGGGCCTGTTTGCTTCACCCTAGGTACGCCACTATCTGAGATTAATTATTTCTACCATTAGATTTCAACAATTTGTTAGAGAAGTATTTATTGATAAATCACTTATCAAATAGCAATATTAAAATAGTATTATTAGTAGTATTATTTGATATAAGTAGTTACTAGATAAACCAAATTCTACTCATATTTGTTAATTAACATGAAAGTTGGCAGCCTACACAATCATGTAAAACCTTTTTAATTAATAAAATATTTTTTTCTCATATGAAATGCTGTATTTTTTGGGACATGTCCTATGATCTGTAACAATCATTATTTTCCTTAGCAAGTACATCTAAAATATGTATTTTATATCAACAGTAAAACCTTCAGTTTATTTTACAAGGTACCTACATTTCAGAATTTGTAGCAACAATATTTATAATTCGAATTTTCCACAATTTGAGATGTAATTAAACTGTAGCCGTTCCCTCTTAATTTTATTACGACGTCGAGTGAACCACTTTAATATAATGAATAAAGGGTTGCGGGTAGTAAAAAGATGCTATTTTTTATCCTTAATAGTTGTTTTCTTTCCGTTCTTTCATAACCAGGGAATTCCGTAATGAAAACGAATGAGGCCATTTACTATAAAAAGTATTTTGCATTATTTAAAATAAATTCATAAACCCACTGTAATGAAATTAATGTTTTGCACAGCTAACGCTTTTTATACGTGTGGGTAATAATAAAAATATACGGATAACTCACGGTGTGTATAAAATATCGGAGAAAAATAGAACCTTATAAACCATTGTCCTATTACACAGGCCCACAAAAAAAAGTGGCAGGTCCGAAAGACAAGACCATGGTATCCATATGGTTTTGGGGTCGCTGAATTCGAATCCGGTGTCCGTTTGACACGATTAGCTGTGGTTTAAGGTCCGTTCAAGGTCAAATGTAGAAAATCAATTGTCGACAAACTAAACATATGTATCTATATGTTTTTGGAGTCGCCGAATCCAAATCCGATGTCCGTTTGACTCAATCAGATCTGGGTTGAGATCAGTTCAAAGTCAAATGTGGAGAATCAATTGAAAACAAAGTTAACTTGCATATCTCTACGTTTTGGGGGTCGTTGTATCCGAATCTGATGTCCGTTTGAAGCGATCAAGTCTATTAAATACTTTCTAATAGAAAAAGATCAATCAACATACGAAAGATACTTGTAGAAATATTTTGATTTTAAACCTAAGTGAAAAATTTTATTGGGTTTGAGCAGAGAGAAAGGGTTCACCAAGACATTAAAGAAGGAAGAAATTTGGGTGGCAATGAAACTATCACTGATATTGTTAGTGATACTAGTGATGACGAATATATTCCATATCACGTTGTGAAAAAGACAGGAACAATATCACAAAAAAGGTAAATGATGAGATTTGGACCTGGCAGAGAATGGAGCAGAGTTCCTAATGTCATGGCCAAAAAAAAAATAGTAAGCAAGCCGGAAAAGTGAAAGCATTTTACTATCAGTACAGAAATAAGGAATATTTTTCTAACGACAAAGAATTTTCCCTAAGTTACTTCAATGATATTGTTGGATGAATCACTTCAAAAACATGGATGTTATAAACCTAACATACACTGAAACAGGATTGCCATAATTTGAGGATAGTCCTACATAGCATCAAATACGAACAACATAAATGGCTTTACATTTAACCTTGAACTGAACTTAAACCAGATCTCATCGAGTTAAACGAACACCGGATTCGGATTCGGCGATTCAAAAAACGTATAGATACGTAGGTTTAGTTTGTTGACAATTGATTTTCTACATTCGACCTTGAACTGACCTTAAACCAGAGCTAATCCCGTCAAACGGACACCGGATTCGGATTCGGCGACCCCAAAAACGTATGGATACATAGGTTTAGTTTGTTGACAATTGATTTTCTATATTTGACCTTGAACTGACCTTAAACCAGAGCTAATCGTATCAAACGGACACCAGATTCGGATTCAGCAACCCCAAAACTATATGAATACCATGGTCTTGTCTTTCAGACCTGCCACTTTTTTTTGTGGGGCTGTGTTATTACCAGTGTAGAAGTTACGTGGCGTTGAACTTGTAACAAAAGCCGGGACGCGCAGTCATTTATTTATTAGTTCCCGGAACGGAAAGTAAGATATTTCAGTCGTCACAAATTATCGGAGGGTAAATGGGTTTCAAGTAGGTCGCCAAGATCGTCCTTCGGAGAAATTTGCCAATATTTTCTAACGAGTTTACTTAAACTGTCGGAGCCATGTGTTAAGCGTCTAGTATGAGAAAAAAATCGATATTTAATAACGCGCGAAACCGCAAGAAGAGCGTGGAGATTCCAAATTAGAATTAAATTATATTGTAAAATTGATAGTAATTCGAAAAGAGAGTATACCTAAGCAGCTGGGTTTTTTTGACGGATTTTTCTTAGCTATAAGAGTAGATTAAATGAGATCGACTAATCCGTCCCGTAATTGCTACGCGGAGTCATTGGGGAAGGCTAGGGTTACTAGAAGTCATATAATTATTGTTATAAATGTAAATTCAGTCAATTAGATAATTATTAAAGCATCCCGATATTCAGGTCCCCGCCAATAAGATAAGAACCGAAACTTCTGGACCCAAGAAATGGGCGTGGTCAAAGCGAATTGTGGAATTCGAGAAGGATCTGCAAGAAAAAGGCAGTTCGTGTTTAGGTTTCACATTGAGCAGACTAATTATTAACTTTAGAGTCTCGGGCTAATTAATTAAACTTAATAAATTTTCCAAATTTTGTATGAAGCGCACATTCCCTGAATCTCGGTACGCTGTCGCGTGTGTAAATAAATTAATTAATAATGTCGTCGAGCCGTTGTGGTTTTATTTTGTTTGTTTTGTTTATTGTTAATAAAACCCTTCCTGGAAGTTTGGTGTTTCCTTTTGTTTCTCCAATCTCAGTGTCACCCTGTATAACGAGCCACTGGATTACATCCCACGTAAGCAATGAAAGGGTAAGTGCTTGGAAGTAATTTTCTGAACATACAACATTTCTAGATTCCCACGTGTCAATTAAAGTATATCTAATGACAATAAACTCTCTTTCGAGAATTAAATAGTAACTCTTTCGAGCATTAAATAGATAATTAATTAAAAATAGATAATTAAAGAAATAACCTCTCAGGTTACAAACTTTAAAATCTAAGACTATTTTTTGTGATAGTTCAGAGGCCAACAAATATTTTTTTGTTCATTTAATAGGATATTAAACTACACCTTTTTATAGTTTAGAAATAAAATAATAGTTCAGTGACGTTTTGTACTCTCTTATATCGTTGAACATTTTAAACTGTGTTTCTTACAACAATTACTATACTAATAACTACTTTTTGAATTTTGTGGAGAATGGAGATTAAGTCCTCTGGCTGGTATTTATAGTTGTTGTGTGTAAAAACATAGATATAATATTGTTTAATATTGACATTTGTCTGTTGTTTATAAATTGATGTAAGAAAGCAATATAAAGAAAGTCGTAATAATAATGCTAACTAATAAAGCAAATATGGTTTTGATTACCAATGTGTTATATTCACACCAATATATACAAAATGACCAAAATCCATTCGAACTACTTTAGAGAAAGTAGTAATGGTTTGTAACTTTAAAACTTTGTCCTCGGTCATTATCCAAATGTGTTTGTATGTAGATATCATACCTACCAAGCAGTAAATAACTTCTAAGTTCCTGCGTCCATTGCCTTAGTATTTCTTACAAGCCGTATAAACCAACAAACTTTGATAGCCCTAATGGAGTTTAACCGGAATGTAGTTGCCGTAAATAGGGCAAAAACGTAAATCGATTTTGGAAAGGGTCCGTCCTGGCGAGTTTTGTAACCATCAGACTAATAACTAACTTAATAAATCAAAATGGCCTTAGCTCAATTTATTCCTATCTTGTGCAGAAAGGCCTACATAAATTGATTCCAGTTTTTGCCTCGTAATCAACATCATACACTAAATTCAGACATTAACTAAATCCAGACCCAAGTGAATTTCCCACCAACAGTAGGATTTTCGTGT